ATTCTGGATGATCACTTCTTTTGGCCACACATAAAACGTGATGTTGAAAGGATCTATGAAAGGTGCATAGCATGTAAACAAGCAAAATCTAGAGTTTCCACATAGTTTGTATACTCCTTTACCCATACCTACTGAACCTTGGGTTGATGTACCTATGGATTTTGTTTTGGCCTTACCGAGGTCAAAAAGAGGCCACGATTCTATTTTTGTTGTTAACAGGTTCTCGAAGATGGCACACTTCATTCCATGTCATAAAACTGACGATGCAACCAATATTGCAGATCTATTCTTCAAGGACGTTATTCGTTTACATGGCATTCGAAGGACTATCGTTTCTGATCGCGATGTCAAGTTCTTGAGTTACTTTTGGAAGACATTGTGGGGAAAGCTGGGGAACTAAGCTACTGTTTTCGACTACTTGTCATCCACAAACTGATGGACAAACAGAAGTGGTTAATAGGACGTTGTCAACCTTATTGCATTCTATTATTCAGAAGAACTTGAAGAACTGGGAAGAGTGTTTGCTGCACGTTGAATTTGCTTATAATCGGAGCGTCCATTCGGCAACTAACTGTTCGCCATTTGAAGTTGTGTATGGTTTTAATCCACTCACTCCTTCAGATTTATTGCCTTTACCTATTGACAAACAAGCTAGTTTGGATGGGAAAAAGAAAGCTGAAGTGGTTAAGTAACTACATGAGAGGGTGCGACAAAACATAGAGCGACGAACTGAGCAATATGCAAAACAAGCCAACAAAGGACGCAAGAAAGTTGTATTTGAACCTGGAGATTGGGTTTGGTGCATATGCGCAAGGAGCAATTCCCTGCACAAAGGCGTTCTAAGCTGCAACCAAGAGGCGATGGACCATTTCAAGTGATTGCGAGGATTAATGACAACGCATACAAGTTGGAGCTTCCTGGTGAGTATAATGTTAGTGCTACTTTTTATGTTTCTGATCTTTCTCCTTTTGATGTAGGTGACGATTTGAAGACAAATCCTTTTGAGGAGAGAGGGAATGATGGGAATCAAGACGACAGCATATCTACTACATCATGTGATCCATTACACACCCAAGGAGGTCCAGTCACGCGAGCTAGAGCTAAGAAGATGCATGAAGCTTTAAGGTTAAATCCCCATTTTGGTCCCTGAACTATTGTACGGATCCCCAATTTGGTTCTTGAACTAAAGAAATCCCTGATTTGGTCCCTAAACTATTGTACGGACCCACGATTTGGTCCCCACTTTTTATAATTTGGCCTAAGTTGGTCCTTGAACTATTGTATGGACCCCCAATTTGGTCCTTACTGTTTACAATTTCGCCCCAATTTGACCCCTGAGCTATTATTTAACAGAAGGACTAAGTCGGGGTTAAATTGGTAAACAATAAGGACTAAATTGGGGATCCGTATAATAGTTTAGGGACTAACTCGGGGGTCCGTACAATAGTTTAGGGACCAACTCAGGGGTCTGTACAATAGTTCAAGACCAAATTAGGGATTTCTTTAGTTCAGGGACCAAATCGGGGGTCCGTGCATTAGTTCAGGGGCCAAAATAGAGGTTTAACCAAGCTTTAAATGGCCTTATTGAGCAGATCTGGGTTGAAAAACAAGCAAATCGAAGCTGGATGATTATCAAGGCATGATAAACATCATTCAGGTTCAAGAGAAGCTTAATTGAGGTCATTTATGGTAAATTACCCAGTTTGC